TTTTGGTTCTCGTTGGAAGAATTTCTCACAAGTTCTCTTTACAGATACCTATGCACAACTGAAGTAAGCAAACCAGCCCTTTTGGCGTTTCTGCTGGGGCCGTATGCTGAATGTTGGGGAGGGGATGGGGTCCCGACGGTCGACGGACTACTTCAACTCGGTCCTTAAAACCGCCACAATTTGGTGCTTACCTCAGAACTAAGCCTTAAAGAGAGGTCCGTCCTCTCTCCAAGGCTTAGTCCTGGGGTAAGCAAACCAGCCCTTTTGGCGGAGCTGCTGGACCTAGCTGCACCACTTCGTCATCACTCTCCTACCGTACCGACCGAGTTGAAGTAGTCCGTCGACCTCGGGGACCCCATCCCCTCCCCAACATTCAGCATACGGCCCCAGCAGAAACGCCAAAAGGGCTGGTTTGCTTACCTCATGCACAACTTGAGCCAAGAACTATCCTATCAGTGAACTATAGGAAACGTACTGTGTCTTTTCACCTGCAGTGCTCTGCATTCCCATACCAAAGTGCGTTAGCTGAGAAAAGATTTGTGGTGAGAGATGTGAAATTCCCGTGGGGTGCCTTTTGCACTTTCGCCAATATCTTGCCCTTTCACAAATACGCTACAATAAGATCTATTTATGATCTGATCCCCGGACCGTGCGCGCGGTATGCGGCGCTACTTGCCACTACACCGTTTTCACCCGACAATAGAACGTTACAATCGACCACAAATGTAAAGGAAAAAGCTTGAAAAAACCGAAGCTTTAATAGTAAGCACGGGCGTAAAAATATGTAAGCATGGCCATTATAGTCGATAACATACAGCCTAGCAGATAAAAAGCGAAAATTCAAATTTCCCTTTAGCAAACTAACTGAGAGCGGGATCACTTTTGAATTCTCATAGAATAATTTATTTCACTATGTGCTGAAGCTCACGGGCACAGTTACCTTCAAGCGCTCAAAAATGAAATATAATTGCTTACCCTTAAATGAGCCTGAGCTCAGCAGCATTGTAAAGCACTAGGGTCTAGGAGAATGCTCATAGAATCATCAAAGTGCATTCTATTTAATGAATCGTTGCCAGAGTACTTTGTCGCTTATATCTCCAAAGAGTGCGCTATTGATCGGCTGAGGCTTCAGCTGCTCAAAAAACCCATAATTGGCTTCATCACGACTTTCCTACGCTAGATGTGTCTAACTTCTGCTGCCTCAGCTCTACGGCAACTCTGACTCTCTCAACTTTTTTTTCAATTACTACTACACTCTCTCAATTGATGTGTTTTTATGCAGTTATTCTCCCTAATTTATTATTATTTAATTATTTATGTTCACGAATGGACCCATTTAAAATCCTTTTTCCTCCCGTATTTTCGTGCTATGGGCACTTCCTTGTTATCCATTCGAGCATTCGGCATATTGCAGAAGACAAATGACCAGTGGATGACGGTGGGCGTCGTACTGCCGAATCTCCAGAGAGTTGTTGAGGCGAAAAATGAATGTGAGTCTTTGCGATTCGTCAAACATCGCCTTTAACCAACCC